CCTCACTGAACAGGTCCTCACTGAGCCACTCAGATGAGTCTCATTGTGAGATAAAAACCCTGAAATGGCTGAGGCAAAAGCTGAGCAGCAACGAAAGATGTGACGATATGAAATGTTTGAGGAGACCGATGTACGAAACGCATGCAACGCGACGCAGCTAGGAGTGGAGGTCCACCTACTTTTCAGAGTATGTTTTAGAATATTTTCCAACAACACAGGGGGCAAACAAGGTCAGATCTGAAATACCCCACAATGTATATTTAAACTAAAAAGTCCGCCATGTCAGACTGCACATGCGGTGGTGTTTCTGCAGACTCACGGTCATTGTATTTAGTTTTAGATTAAAACATATATATACAAACAGTACTTCCTTATCAACACGCTTAACCATGGTTTACCCCTCTGAGGACTCTTTTTTTAAAGTGACAGGGCATTTTTAAAATGCAGGGGACCAGCTAACCAAAAATAACACAAACATCCTTGATGGGCCACAACCACTGGCAAGCATTATGCAAAATTCAACCAAACCCAAGCAATAAGTAATCAGATGTTCATATTTCTCTAAATACTAAAATAAATTTTCCAAGCTCAGTAAGACAGATAGTCTAAACAGGTGAAGACCATAATAATCTACTGAAAAAAAAAACACTAAAAGATAAAGTTTCAAAAACCAAACTGTGTAGACACGCCTCACACAGGCAAAACATTAATTATGCCAAAAAACACCCATAGGTCAACCAACATCTGACAAAAACATAATCCAAGAAGAAATAAAATTATCAGGTGCACCCTTAAAGCCAGAAATTAGTCACAAAAGGAAAGACAGACAGACAAACAGAGCTACTACTATTGTTCAGTAAAAATAGTAATCAAAAACAAACCAATATGGCCTTTGTCAAATAATGTAAATATACCCAAAATTCAAAAATAAAGGCTTTCCCACATGTGAGGCCTAAAATGACTGAAAAACATTATCGCAGAGACCAAAAAGCTTTGTTTTTTTCCTTCCCAAACAGACAATAAAATGAAAGAATTTGATATGGCTCAGGCCCTGTGATGGACTTGCGACCTGTCCAGGGTGTACCCCACACCTCGCACTGTGACTGCTGGATATGGGCACCAGTGACCCACGCAACCCTGAAAAGGAAGAAGCGTGTACAGAAAATGGATGGATGGATGGATGGATGGATAGACAGACAGACTGATTGATTGATTGATTGATTGATTGATTGATTGATTGATTGATTGA